TTAATATTTTACCGCTAGGTTTTTTAATTGAGTAATTCAGTCTAATTGTATTGTTATTATTTTATTTTTTGTTTTAAACGTTTACGCCCGTTTTGCGTCTATTCCTGATTTTACTGCCGCACTGCAGCCGGGGCGAAGGCTCCTTGAAGGCCCTTAGCGCGCAGCACACGCCAAAGGGAATCGCATCGTCTTTTGTGTGTGAGCAGGGTGAACTGGTTCGTGTTGGTGTGAGAAGTGGGCGGGGGTTTGTGGGGAGAGTGAGCGCGCGAATCACGCTTTCAGGTCGCGCTTCGCACACCCAGAGATAATGGCGATCGTACCGTACTGTTCACTCCCCTGCTCACATGAGTGGATGAACGCGCGGGCATGTTGGGGTTGGGGGGATGGGGGGCGCGGGCCGCACACATGGGGCACTAACACGTGTGCACGTACATGCACGTACATACACGCACGTACACGCACGTACACGCACGTACACGCACGTACACGCACGTACATACACGTGCGACCCGGCCCGCCGCGCCGCCCCGGAACAATTTAATTAATGGTGCCAAAATTCCTGAGCAGAGGGAGCGGTGGGGTGGTGGCGGCGCCTTTGCTTATCCCCGTTCCCTTTCAGCGTGTCCCAATAAAAAAAATAAAAATAAAAACACATACGAAGGGAAAATAATTATTCTAATTATAGGAGTCTGAATTGTTGTGACCTTGAGGACCTTGGGCGTAATACGTTACACAAGCGGTTGTGGGTGGGGGTGGGACGGGGGTTGGGGGCGTGACACCTGTTCACTGTGTACTCTGGGGGCGCGTGGCGTGGCTCTGTGAGAGAATGGAGAGCCGGATGAGAGAGAGAGTGAGCACTCACGTGGACCGCGCTGCCGCCGCGGGTTGGGCCGGTGGGGCGGGTGCGCCTTGGAGCCGGGCCGCGCGTAGAGTCGCGCCACCCAGGGGCCGAAGCGGTCGTCGAACACGGCCAGCACGACGGGCAGCAGGCACGCCTGCAGCTCGCCGCCCCACAGCGCGATGCCGTGCAGCGGCCAGTCAAGCGACCCCGGCCGCGCAAGCAGCGCCACGCTCGCGCCCTGCAACACACACAAAACAAAAGGCACACGGTCACAATATGGCACAAACTAATGAGCAAGTCGGTCGTAGCGAGTACAAGTACAAGTTGTTCCAGTCCCTCGAGCGAGCAGCAGCAGCAGCGGCGGCGGCGGCTCCGCAACAACAGGCAAAGTCATCACGCGCTCTTGAGGAATTATTGCGAGTTGCTGTGCAGCTGATCCCCCTGTCGCCGCCTCCAGCGCGCCTCCGTAGCGCCTTGCCGCACACCTGCGCGCCGCAAGACTCTCCTTGCTCCAGACTCGCAGGCCGCGCGCGCCTGGGTACACACAAACGCGAGCGAGAATCAAAATGTACGGTGTGGTGGTATGGTGTTGATGGTGATGGTGATGACGAGGGGTTGTTGATGTGCAGCCTGCTGCTCCCGGTGCCAGCCTCTCTCCCTCTCTATTCCAATAATAATAATTTTTCAAGGTCGAGACCATCCACCCCACCTCCACCCCACCCTACCTCC